GGGGGAGAAAGAACGAGAAAAAGAGAGAGGGGGAAGGGTAGGGGGAAAGAGCGATAGTGACGCATGCTCAAGACTAAATTTCAATCTTACGTTTTTCAAAAACCTGTGTAGGCTACTGGATTAGCCGTGTTGTGAGAAATCTGCTCGCGCTTAAATAACTCACCTGTCGGGACAGCACCGGTGTTAGACAAACAAAAACAACCAAAGAAACAAACAGAAAGCCTTTTTTACTTTACGTCACCTACAAGGAAATGTTTGAAAATTTACCTGCTGATGGTGTTCAGTCAACTGAAAGAGATGCGTGAATGGCTGCTACATTAAGATTTGTAAACAACACCCCCTCCCCCCGGGCCCATCTTTAAAAAAAAATAATTTACAAAACTCCCCAAAATCAACTATATGACAGCAACAATGACAATCTTTATTCATCTCGCTGGGAGAAATGTGTCTTGGTTGTTTACAATGGCAGTGATGTTATAAGGTTTATGTGCACTTACGCATACACACAACAACAAAAGGACATAATAAATATTACGAGTTGAAACGCCTCAGCCTAATAAACATTCTCTCTCAACGGACCTTGTATACCGTACTAGAGACGTGACAAATATTGTTTGAGTTGATTCTTTCGGAGAGTGTGTTCAAATATATTCAGTTAATCAATGGCAAAAACGGAGATTTTTCATAATGTTTATTGAGCTGACTGATTTTTTCCCCGAATTCAAGCGACAAAAGAGACACTTGGTGGCCATAGGGACGGAACGCTATAAATGCTGTCTGTATATCTTTTGCTTCTAAGGAAAGGAGAGGAGAGAGAAAAGAGGGAGAGAGACTTTACCACAGTCTGAGCCACAAACGGTAAGTGAGACTCTCATCTCTTTCTTGTTTTTTGGTTGTTGTTTTTTGTTGGGTTTTTTTTGGGGGGGGTGTTCTTTTGGTAAGTGTTTTACGGCGCTCGTAAGTGCATAATGTCATATGAGCGCGCGGTACACATTAAACATGTTCAGTTATAGGAACTTTTGAATTTGCCCGAGTGGCGGCCAAAGCCTACGCTTATCGATTTCAGACCACCAGGGGATCTTTAACGTGCGCAACTTGCACACGAGACATCCTAGATTTTTCGCCCTTCTCCGAGAAGACTAGGTGTAGATTTTTCCTACCAGAAGATCAGGGGTGTGGCCACATTGACTCAGTTTAGACACTTTAGGAGGCGGCCTATTTCGACCCTTCTGTCTGTCGAATTTAGCACTGGCTGATTGATACAAGATCCCAGCAGACAGATTTACTGATACATCTTAGAATACATTTTCAATCTACTTTACTCTATCTTTCCTCTTATGGTTAGAGTACGGAGTGCCATAAGTGTAGTTTAGTGGTAAGGCTACCGGACTTGTGATAGTGAGGTTACGGGTTCGGAGGGTTTGAACCTCAGGCCCGAGGTTGTGTACTTGACAAAGGCACTTTACATGAATTTTCCTCAACTCACCCAGGTGGGAACGGGTACCCAATCACAGACAGCAAAAGATCTTATTAGTATTTTATTGTTCCAGGGCCTATAAAATGGTAGTTTTAATTTGATATCTATCAATATAATATGATTGATGAGGACAGGATTATTATTTTTACAGGCTGTGTGTTTTACCTCTTTGTTATTCATTCTTTTTAGTACTTGTATCACTCCCCCCCCCCT